TGTAATTTCTTGTAACTTCACTCAGTTTAAACCTTTGTAAAGTTAAAAAATTTCATTATAACTTTCTTTTTTTATAACCCCCATAATGCCATTATTTTGAAGTTTTCATTTTATTCTTTCGAAATTTTCATGAACCCATTCCCCCCAGATAGTTTTTATTTTAAATCATTGTGAACAGCTCTGTATTAACATTATTTCCTTTAGAAAATTATGTTAAATTTTGTTAAAATCATCAAAACAGGACCATTGATTATAAGTTTATTGTAACTATACATACATAATGGCTATCAAAAATTCTTCAATCACGGAAATGTAAGAATTGCAGTTTTGCAATAGCTTAGTAGAAGATTAAAGTTATTAAGTCAGTGACATGTTTAGAAATATCTCTCATTTTTGTGGGACAAGTGATAAGGTCAAATCTGCCACCTCACACTGTTGTGTCATGTGTCATATGATTTTCACTTAAGTTTTATGTTCTTACGATTTAGCACTCATTTCAAATGATCTTTGTCGTATATTTTTTATACATAGAATATTGTATTTTTTAATGGTATGCAATATTGATTTTGAAGTCAAATATGAAATGTGCCACTACTTTAGTGCTTACACATTTGATGCTTCCTTTTGTGAAGTTTGTTACCACATTAGGCACATCATATATTTACAGAATTCAGCTTCTCACTTAAAATACTTGCAATAGCTCTATAAAAATAGTTTCAAGTTAGACCATTCCAAGTAGTCACTTCCCCTATTATTTACATGGAACATGAGTTTAAATTGATCAAAATTCATAACAAAGTGACAAGGCAAATTTGCTAAAAGTGTATTGAGTATTATAGCAAAGTGAAATTAGTACCAAAGTATTTGAGTTATATAAATTGACTATTTTGAAATATATATTAAGAAATAAAAGATGTTTACAGTTAACATAGTTTACTGCGTTTGCACAGGCTTATGCAAATCGAGGAGACCATTTGGAGAACTCAAGAGTAGATTACTGCCAGGTCAAGAATTTGCACCTGCTCTAGCATTCTTACAAAGGTCTCCGAGCCACAGCGTTTTCATAGGCCAGTGTGTATACGAAAAATGCAAAACAGACGAATTTAAAACAAACTCTCAAATTTGTCCTCTAACATGTCTTGATGTTTGATTTGCAAATTCTCTTTGATTGCTTTTGAGTTCACAGATCGGTTTGTACAAAAAGCGTCCAATAATGTTAAACTAATTTGGGACCGGTCTGGATAGCGTTATCCATTGGATAGTAAAGCCAGTTTTCTTAAACTTTTTTTTTCTCTTTTAAAAATCAAAAAGTATAAGATTCGAACTGAACAATCACTGAAATAAAATATTGTTTCGAAGATTACGAAATTTCTTTGTCGTAAGAAAAATATAAACACCTTTTTTAGCTACAAGTTTGAAGATTTTTGCTATCCAATGGATAACTCTATCCAGGCTTCGTGCAACCGGCCTATGATTAGTTTAATATCTTTGGACCTTATTGTTTGTATTTTATAATCTCTGATACTGAACAAAAGAATTTTTCTCTTCTTGTAACTTTTCTGTGGACAACTGTGCTATGTATTCTTTGTTCACTCAAAAAACGTATTCATTTGAAAGAAACGTCGCCTGATGAAAAGTTTTGTGGTATTCTGAACCTGACATGAAACTTGCCAGAAAAATAAATAATTTAAAATTGTATTTTCTGGATAAAATCACTTTCCAAGTTTCTTTACTTGACTAGCTTTCCTACATTGTTTTGATTTCGCTTTTGGCAGTATGTAAAACTGTTGCTGTTTCCTTTGATTTATTTGCTTTGCACACAGTTTGAAGGATAAAAATTAAATTAATTGAAATTCATTTGTAACGAATACTATATTACAGTACATTCTCAACATTACGCTTTGTCTTTTCAAGGAGTTTTGGGAAGTGTAAACGTAATAATTTAGCGATGAATCGTTCGCCTGCTTACTTTCATATTAATAGATTACTTTAAGGCAAAATTTTATGTGAACAAGGCCTTTGCGAGGGGGTGGGGTGTTCAAACAGTTTTTATGAGGCAATTTATATCTTTAAGAAAAATTTCACAATTTCTATGTTACAAGTACATTGGTGCAAAAGACAAGTCAGCCTTTATGTAGCAAATAAAAATCATCACATACAAAAGTTGGTTTTGTTTACCCAAATAACCTATATTTACATAAAATCTTTGATCATAGAAACGTTTTACAAAATTTTTAGCTGTTTCGAAATTGTCTGCTCTTTTTTGATCTACCATGTATAATAGAAACATTACGTTGTTTGAGTCTTGCATTGACTGTTTTGAACTCTTTGCTGTTTAGAATCTTGCATACATATCGCTATTAACTATTTTTTGACTTTTCGTCAGACATGTGCTCCTCGATTCACAGAATACACCACAAACAGCAAGGAATTTTACTTATTTGGAAAGTGCGTCGTACTTGAAGGAAAATATCAGAACAGAATTTCAGTAAGAACATTGTATCCTTGTACACTAAGACAGGCACCAAATCATGGACGAATTGGTATGTTGAAATTATTATTGGATGATTATTTTTATTGTGATAATTTTTATTGTGAGTGTTACAAATGACTAAAGCAAGTCTTACAGGTGTCGTTAATCGAAGAAGGAGTAAACTGCTTTGAAATGTTAGGAATTCGTAGCAGTACGTGCGAATGACAAAACTTTGATTGTTTGGGCTGTTTAGTTGTTGACAGACATAAAGCGAAAGTGCAGTTGTAGTGTAGGGGCCATTTTTTTTACAACAAGCGCTTTGAAGAAATAATTAAGCTAATTAGTTTTTGATTCCGATAAATTGCCATGAAGGTTGTGATTATTGATACGATTTTGCAAACGTTGATCTGTCAAAAGGACTTGATTAGTAAGATCTAGAAATAATGCAAGATAATCGATTGTTGCTAGATAGGAATATAGTACTCATTCAGAGGTTCATTCTCAACTAATGGTCAAGACATTGTAAACAAGATCAACAGACGAACCATCCTTGGTGCTTTTGCAGAGCCGTCAGTAATAGGAGAAATAACCATGTATTCTATGTTCTGCGAGAACCTTTCTCTAAACGCAAAAACTTTTTCTGGCTAACTTTCATCATTGCTTTTTCGAGTCCCTCTCTTTTTGAAGACGCGGTTGATTTTGTTTTTGCCATTTGAAATGAATAAGAATTTATTGCTTTTACTAGTGTATAACAATGAGTCACTAAAAATGATCTTCCACCAATGATTCACTACTTAGGTTCCTTTAGTATCTGGCATACTACTTCTATTCCTAGCATGTGAATCAAACAAAATATGAATTCCAATTCATTACTAAGGTCATCACATATATTTTTATAATGATTATGGCCTGATTGCCAAGACAAGAGTGCACTTGTAAGGATTGCATGAATACGATAACGAGATAGACTTTTGGAATCTGTGATTATAAGAACTTGAAGCTGTATTGAAAAAAGCTCTGCATAAGTTGTTATTTAATTTGTTCATCGACGTTTCAGACAATCCCATCATCCACTAATGAATGTTGTCTCCTCAATGGGGTGAATTTACATTACTTGCTATTTCAATTGGCTCTGCAACTTCGGGCTTAACAAGATTTATAGCAGTTGTACCGTCATATCAAATTAAAACATATGATAAGACATATCAAATCTGTAATAAGTATAGCTATAGAAAAATGCATTTTTGACCAAGAAACTGTATCAGATGATATGGAACATTATTTTAAAAGGTATTCTTTTTTGAAGCAATATATAGCACAAATAGTTAAACCGATGGGAGATAACAACATTACGGTTTACAACTATTAAGTGTGTAAATCGAACGTTATATATTTCCTCGAAATTGAAGGGCTCTTTCATAAAAAGAACTTTTTGATTTGAAGAGAAGGAAAATCATGACTAGAAACCTATTTCACTATGAAAAGGCAAATTTGAGAAAGAAATTTACGGTAGTGCTAAAAACAAAGTTTATAAAAGCGTTGAATTGATTCAAAAGATTTTTCTACACCAGCGTTGAACATGCAAGCCTAGTTCCTCCGCTGTGATGTTTTTGATGTGATAATGTTGGGTACGGAGGGATTTCTATCTATACTCTGTGTAAATACAATGAGAAATGACCTAATCAAGCAATGTAAATTCTTTTTAATTGGATAGTTTTATTTTGAGAAACAATACGTATAATGGACAATGTAAATTAAGACGTCTGTTACGAAAGCCGAAAAAGAAGGTTTTTACCAATGATTGTCTGAATTATGTCTGTTAACTCATATTTATCATTATAGATTATGATCATTGTCAAGCTGGATTTTCTGCTTCTTTAAAAAGGAATCGACAGGTTGTTATGGGTGCGGTGACGTTCAGTAAGCGAGGTAATACACAATTCATCACTAAATTGATATGGACCTGGCTTTGTAAACTTGTAATTTTTGCATCAGCGGCATTAATAGATTTCAGTAGACCTCAATGGTTTAAACCTGAACCGACATTTTCAAAACAAATATGGTTTTTGCTTTCTTTCCATTCTATTTGAACCACAAAAATTCCATGGAAATTTAAGCCGTACATTGTTCAATTAATATCATTTAGAAAGTTTTATGAATAGCTAGCTATCACTCGTGTATGACTTCTTATTAAATTTGTAAGGTTTTATAGCAAACAACCATCTCCTCAATGATCATTGTACGTTTCAAAATTCACCGTTCAGGAACATCGATGAAATATTGTCATTTGACCAATAGTATTCATTATAGCATTTATAGGGTTTCAACCGAAAGAAGAAATATGAAATTCAACTCTAACCACATAAACTTAAGCACCAGTTTTGCCGGTTGAATCTGCTTAATTTGAATGGCTCGTTTACTTTGCTGTGTTATTTTTCACGTGAACGGAATCACGTGACTTGAACAAAAACATTGTCATTTCTTAATTTCTTTGTTTCTACACTTATTGAAAACTGTTTTTTTAAAGGAAACGTTGTCTTTGAAGCATCGAAAAAAAAGTATAAGTGGGCAACGTTTCCTGCAGAAGATGGAAATTTTTACAATGGTAGGTATTGTGGTTTTTTTATATCCTGTTATTTTTCTTATGCAACCAATTTATAAGTCGACTTTCGGGAAAGATCTTAAAGTACTTTGCTTTTGGGCTGTCTCTTTGCGTAACTGTTTTTCACGGTTTGGATCCCAGATTTGAAATTTAGAATCGTTTGTGTCCTGTCCATCATTTATGAGAAAAGTCTGATGATTTTTTTCATTCAGAGTTATTTAATTTTTAAATAATGTTATCTAGGTTACTCAGTCACCACCGGGAATTTTTTCGCGTTAAATCAAGAAGGTATGGCAACTTATTGCTCTCTTAACTTAGTAAAACATAAAGATATAGTTTTTGATGTTGTCGTTGCCGCTTTGGGATCTTGGTATATTTTGGAATCAGTTACACCAGTCTTTGGAATTAGTTACACACGATGTTTGTATGAGAAAGTAAGGACTAAATTACTTTTATATAATGCCAAGCTAAAAAAAATCAATTTTGACTGGCAGGTTTTTGAAATAGAAGATAAAAATACATGCTGTGAGGTATTAAATCGCAATTATGACTGTGAATAGTTTAAGCCGAGCGGACAAAGTTCAATCCTTGCACGAACAAATCTCGTTTCTTAAAATCCTATTCTCTTGAGAATAGAATTAAATATTTGTCTTGCGAACGTTTCTATCTCCGTCAACTCCGAAATTTTGTGGTCTGATATATTCATTTTAAATAGTCGAAATTCACAATCACTATTAAAACATTTTTATTTCCTTCTCAACTGAACAATAATATATTTACGTAAAATGCATGTACGCTTGGCATTCCTATGTTTTGTTTTGGTGACTTCATATGCGAGTTTTCTCTGTTGTCTGTGGGTTTGTAAATACACACAAAAATATCTTTATTAGTAATCTTGCTTACAACAACAAAGTGTTATAACAAATGCTATAAATAGATCTCAAATTTGCAAGAAATTGTTGTGGCCAGTTTAGGATTCGCAAAAGTTTGAATTCGAATCAGAAATGATCATGCAATTCATATTTTTTTTGTTTAGCAATTGCATCTGGGTACCCAAGATTCGGATATTCAGGACAGGTTTGTTTGTTTGAATTTTTTTATAATTGTCAACGTGCGGGGCTCTTATTTTTCCCATTTTTTTGATAATGAACGTAATTCTGATATGCTGCAATTTATAAGTTATATAAGGATTACATTTCACGTTTGGCAAGGGAGCGTTGACAATTAAATCATTAAACATTACTTTCATCTCTGGGTAGTCTAGATTTTTTTTTCATTAGTATCGTTTGCACAGGTATACAGGGTGCACGTGTATTAGAAAAAGTTTGAAAATTTAGAAATTTTGATGAAATGATAGCTTTCTGAACATTTCATTAAATGTTTAGCAATTTTTGATACGCTATGTAGTTTGTATCATGGCAGTAGTTACTTATACACACATTATTTATAGATGATTGAATGTTAATTGTGTACTACACATCTACTTTTGGAACAACGGGAGTATCGTATTTACTACAAAATTACTATATTTCATTGTTATAACAGGTTAGAGTTTATCGTGAAAACTTGGATTCCACTATCGTTGATATTTTTCCACCAAAAAAAGTCCAAGAAGTAAGTATAGTTAGTTGATTAGCATATGTTTAAATAGCGCAATTACCTCGGATGAAATTATTTACAACAGAACTTGATTTGTTATAAACGAAACAAAAAATTGTTGGAGTTAGCCGGAGGTTTGCCTTTTAAGTGAGGATTATAAGAGAGGGGCTGAAAACAGGCTAGAAGCTAGTTAATTTTTCATGCAAACTTACTAGTGCATGCTAATTCCCGCAACACATGATTCAATATCTTGAAAAGATTTTTCTATTTATTAAAATACCCAATCCAGTAAATGCATAAGTCGAAAAACTGAAAATTGTTGCACATGACTATGATTTGTTGTAAATTTTAAGACGAAGCAATTGATTATTTTATTTTGACATTTGTTTTCAATGCCTTTATTACTTACGTTTGCTTGAGTAGTGATTTTTCACTAAGAGAGTTAGGTGATGCGGTGTATGGCTCACAGAAATGTAGGCTGGTATATAGTTACTGTGATTAGTTGCCAGCTACAATAGTTATTTTATCAAGTTGACTTATACGCGCATCGAGATGCGAGATTATCGCTCATGTCTTTGAGTTATTTTGTTTTTTAGAGAAATGAGTTTATCTTCTTTGGAGCTTCCGTTTGTGGAATTGATGTAAACGCTGATGGGTAAATTATTTTTAGCATAAAGGATCAATACTGCTCGCGTATTATGCTTTAAAGCATGAGAAAAAAAAATTTGTATGTATTCCAGCTTTGCTTTTTCATTCATTTCTTATACGAAATGTTTTTGGGTGTTTCAAATGTTGTGAGAGCTCAAATTAAAGGAAGTAGATGATTGTTGACTATTAAGCCCTTAATAACCGAGCGCGAGGTCTTTTCAGAGAAATATAGGACCGAGGTTTTTCTGTACAGACCGAGCCCGTAGTGCGAAATTTGTACAAAAAGACAGAGGTCCGATATTTCTCAGTAAAGACCGAGAAAGCGAGGTTATTAAAAGGTTTATTATATGGCATTATTTGACCTGAAACGAAGCTTGCTTTCTTTCTCGTCCTTGCTGTTTTTTTACCGGTTGGCTTTCACTTTTATAGTTTTCGTTCATAGAAAATAAATCGTTTCAAATTTTATTGTCTGGATAGTTTAACTGCTTTGCAAATGTTTTTCCTTCGAATCACGTTCGTAAATGTTTTTTTTTTGTTTCGTTTATTTTGCGTTTTGCTGTTTGAAATTTCTTTACATTTGACTGTAAAATTACGTCTTTTGGACCGTAGTCGATTACGAGAAAATAATGAACCGGCAAAAATGTTTCTGAGCCAATCAAAGCGCGCCATTTAGCCTGAAGTGACGCTTGCCATATAATAATAAATCATAATAGAAATGGCTAACTTTATACTCCTTAATTCACAGTTATAAGAATTTGATACTTCATGTCATGGAAAATTTAGCTTGCTTTGTTTTCCAGTAACTCTAGTGATTGGGTGAATCATACACGTGATATATGACATTCATGAATCTGAGTGCATCGGTGATCATGAAGCGGACCAATATTTTTTATTAATTTGTTTTTTTGCCTTGATATAGTTTTTCTGATCTATTAGTTGGAGCCCCATTCTTCAGCGACAGAGGTGATGAAGGTCGTGTTTACGTATATCTTAGTGTACTAACTCAGGTAAATTACTGTTCACTATTTTATACTCATTTAGTATTTGCTGGATTCTTGAACCTTATGTCTTACAAGCATGAAACAGTTAAGGAAAAATTGTGCCTACATTGGGCGGTGAAAAGTTTGGCTAAGTTTCACGCAAAATTCTGTGCCATATAATTTATACAACTTTGTAATGACAAGTTTTTAAGTACAGCATAATTTAACTGTAGTAAAAAAGACAAAACATAAGAAATGTTCTGCACGAGTATAAGTCCACTTGGTGCGCGAATTCAAAACCAAGGGAAAATATGTACTGTGCTAAAGTATCTAAAATTCAAAATAATGCGAAGCTGGAGTTTATTAACATTTATATTTTCTAGAATCGAATCCTTGAACTTTCTCCTAATGAGAAAACGCGACATGATCCTGGTTTACGGGGCAGTAACACTATGGAGGCAAGATTTGGATGGTCCATAACACGCGCAGGAGATCTTAATAATGATGGGATTTTAGGTATATTTACAATTAAATGCGGTTGATTATTTGTTTTTTGTTGTGCAGGTTAATAGCATGATGTCGATTATAAGTTGTTAAAGACAGCAAGAGCTAAGAAATTGTGGATGTTTTTTCGTGTGAAATTTCTTTGTTTTACTTTTCAACTTGTATACATAAAGCCATGCTAAAACACTAATCACAAAGCTACTTGTGACTTAAAGAGTTATTTAAAACGGCTTAATGATCGATTTGATCTCACTTGTTGTGATTTTATCTTACACCAGATTTCATTATTGGAGCACCTCAAGATCAACCAGATATTGACGGAGATGGTTTTGGCAATGGCGCCATATATATTTATCATGGACGTAGGGATGGTATATTTAACGATTATCAGCAGGTATGGTTTTGTTGCTTTTCCACAATTTTTATAGCAAGTAACAATCTGGACGGGGTTTTTTCATAAACTGTTAACTGCATAAATTTCAATATCCAAGTTTGTGATTTTACTGTCAATGTTTTTTAACGTATTTTATTCTTTACTTAAATACTCACCAAAACTTTAGTTTTAAGTTTAGCGAACGGATGTAGCACAGTAGTGCTTAGCTAATAATTACATTGCTGTCCCCCGGAAATTGAGGCTAAGTTTGCACAACACTACACTCAATTATTTTTGCGTGCATCGTAATTATTATCAGGTCAATTCTATGGGATTGTGTGAATTGATACTTTCCAAAGTTAGCTCAACACTTAATTTTTTCTTTAGAAAATAACGGCCGAAACAGTCAAGAAGTTTTATCCTAATTTTCAGCAGTTTGGATACTCTGTTGCGGCTATGGTTGACACTAACAATGATCTATATCCAGGTTTTAGCAACAGCACGTCGTATTATTTTCGCTAGTCATGAATGATTATCAAGTTATTTTATGTTTTTGAAGTAATACATGAAAATAGCTAATACTTGAACATGCAAAACTTTTAAAATGGTTTTGTTAAGTGAAAAGAAAAACGTTTTAAAGTTAAGAACAAAGTGAAGCTGTAAATTTTATAGTTTTAAGAGTATTTATGCAGCATTCACTGTTCAATTTAACAAATGATGCATGTTTAGGTTTTCATGAAGTACAGCTGTATTTTTTGTCCTATTCATGGGGCTTGGAGCGATTGTCAATTCCGTTTCGACTGCCTTAAAAAATTTTAGAACAGTAAAATGTTGCAAGCAATGACAAGAAACACTTTTGAAATGGATTGTACTATAAAACGACTCAGCTAAAATCTATGAAAGCTATAAGGATTTATCTGTGATTTCGATTCACCCAGCGTTGTGTTTTGATTTCCTAAACTCAAAAAAAGAATTTTTTTATAGATATTGCAGTCGGGGCATGGAAAAGTGATAGAGTTCTTTTGCTGAGGTATTTTCATTTATTCTTTTTGAATTGGATATGTGATGATTAATCATAGAGCAGTACCAATTGCAACGAATTAAATAAATTAGTTAACGCTATCAAAAATCTATAAGGAACTTATGAAATTATCAGTCTTCTACTGTTTACGTAAACAATTTAAATAAATGTATGGTACAAGTTAGTTAATTATTGGTATAAATGCTTGCATTTGAATTTACGTGAATTTAAAGAAAGTGATTTTGTATGGAATTTCAATTATGTCAGAATTTAATGCTTTTAGAAATGAACAAGCTTGAGCATGTAGGAAATAATTTGAGTGGTTACGTACTTTTAAAATTTTGCTGTCGTTTTATTGAAAGTTTTATTTCTGACCAATTAAATTGTTTGTGTTCGTCGGCGTCAGGTTAAGAGCGAAATTTTACTTCGAGTTGAAGTTGCCCAATAATCACTAATTTTTTGTTAATTTACTTTCTAAGGACTCGCCCAATAATGAACTTGGACGTTTCGTTGACTTTAAGCAGGAAGGAGATACTTGTGGAAAATTATACCGTATTCTGTCCCAACAGTTCTATACAATGGTAAGAATTATATTCTCTATATTTTTCTTGATGTGTAAACAATAAACCTGGCTTAACTTGGTTAATGTGTTTTAAATGAGACTACAACTCGTGTAACCAGTGCATCCCTCTGGTTACGAGCCTGGGGGAGATGTCACTTGTGGAAGTTGTCCATCAAGGGAGATGTAAGCATTGAGAGTTGTTTATGATGGGAAATTTTAACGGGGACAGAAACCATCAAGGGGAAATGTTAACGTATACAGTACCGCTCGCGTATTTGTTAACATAATTTTGCGTGTGATACGCGTATCCTTTTCATATCATACATATATCATTCTCGTATCATACGCGTATGTTTTTCGTATCATACGCGTTTCATACGCGTACCGTATGTTAACAAATACGCAAGCGGTATTGTATGTCAGTATAAAAATTTGACCAGACGAAATGTTGGTCGTGGAGAATGAGAAAGGTATATTATGAGAGAAATCAGAACATAAGAGTCCGTTCACTTGTGATGTTGTTGTAACAAGCTTTTTTTTTATCTAGTTTGGATGTTACAGTGTGTTTCCAATACATCGGCAAAAGTGTCTCTGGTCCTTATGGTACGTATGCATGGTGAAGTTTAGATGATTAACTGTTTCTGTTCAAATGATTGTAATTGCTTTTGGTCGAAGAGAATTGCATGACAGAATATCGAAATCAACTTATGTCAGTGACAATAGTGAGAATAAAGCTCAAAACTATCAAATATGTAGTTATACGGAATGGAAGGTATTGTTGTGTATTGTTGACATTTCATTTCCCTTTTGCTACAACATTTGTATCATTGTAATAAGATCAACGAAAATATTTTTTACAGAACCGTTTGTTGTGCAAATCATACAAATAAACCACGACTCTTTTAAAAATATAGACATGTTTTGGCATGCTTTTGTGATCTTCATTGTTTATGAAAGTGTATAGTGATCATTCATAAAGATGGAAGGAGATTAGTCATCTTTTTAGACCTAGTCGAAACTATTAACATGATATGAATATACAACTTCCATTTTTTGAACAGAAACACAAAAGCTGTACACTGCATTTATCATTTTATCTACAAATGTAAATTTAGTCGGCACAACTGTGTAAAAATATGATGTCAAAGCAGCCATTTTGGCAGGTTTACTTCAAATACCAATGCTTAACAGTGCATGAAGACAGAAGGCAACTTCTTTCACTTGATTGGATTTTCAGCCCACGGGTGGACATTGAACCTCCATTGGTAAACTTTAAATAAACATGTTGCTTAGTAGTTTTACTTTTAAAACGTATGTTTACGTTAATATTGCTTGCTTTCAATAATAATTCATTTTTTTATATACCGAAGATAGCATAAGCTCTCCGAAACATGCCTATTTTAAAAGATTCGTTGTCTTTTTGTCACAGTTTTGTGTTGTTATAATATTATGAAAATCACACTTTATGCTGCAAACCTCAAAATTTGTAAAATTCAAGGAATTTCGATATGGCTAAAGCAGATAGGTTTTGCACAAGCTTGTGTCAAAACATAAAAGCGTTTATTGTTCTTTCATAAATAATCACTGTTGAGTATGTGGAAAGTTGCTGTAGACTGAAAAGTTAAGAGAGGATTGCAATAATATTTTTTTGACGTACATTGTGTTTACGTAAAGAAACCTAAATCTTTTCATTCAGAAGACATACTTAGTTGAGTCTGTTTGTTTTCATCCTAGAAATTCAATACCAGTTCGATTTGGATTATCAAACATGGCAAAATTTTAATAGGAGAGTGTATTTTAATGAATCAGGAAATGAAATTTACTCCAAGCGTGATAAAATAAGACTTCCAGGCAAGAATGTTACGTCTTGTGTGGAATTCACTCACATTCATGTTAAAGTAAGTCAATATCTTTCTTAGTCGTTGTGCTTATTGGGCTAGACAGTTGTTAACCTAACACCAATGTCGCTTTCATGCTGAACGCTGGCTAAGATTGTCATTGTCATATTTCTGTCGTGATATGATGGTTTGTAAGGATAAGGGGAGGGGCTAAGGGCTACTATTATGGTTAAAGGGGCTACTATTATGGTTAAAGGGGCTACTATTATGGTTAAAGGGGCTACTTTATTCTGAAGGGGCTACTATTATTAGGGTTAAGGTCGAAGTTAGGGAGTTTAAAGTAAGTGTTTACTTTAAGGTCACTTTTAGGAGTAATGTATGGGGATTAGGGTTTTGTACGGTTGTTGAGGTTACTTCACTTACGTATTGATCCTTTGTTGGTGTGTTTCTACAAGCGAATAAATACTTTGAACCAAAAATGCCATGAGCTTGTTTTCAGCCATGAGCTTGTTTTGTTGATATTTTTGTTTTGTCCTTTTTAACATCATGTAATTTATGTGGATGTCAACATATCGTTGTAAAATACTACATGACTTACAAGTACTTTGCTTTTCACGCGCTTTTCGTGTATTTCAAAGTTCTTGCAACAGAAAATCATTTAGTCTTTCTCAAATGAAGTAATGTTAACTTCATCAATCGAAATCTTGAAAAAACTACGTTTTATACAAACGGTTTAATGGGAAATTAATGTGAAGGTGGCTTTTTTCAAGCTTAAATACTAACAGCTTTATCCACCCCATATAGTCGCTTCAAAACGTTCGATCGCAGTACTTCTAATTCTTTTCATTGTGTACGTTAAAATTCTTTCTTACATTTTGTGAATTTGTAGGAAAATAATCTTGTGGACCGATTGAGGCTTGGAGCCAACAGCATCGGTTTCAAAATAAATTACAGTCTAATTTTACCACCAAACTGCGAAAATACGACTTTATGTCCAGTTTTGGATACAAGTAAAGGCTCTGTTAGAACGGAACAGGTAGGAATAATTTGGAATATGACTTACTACTTTTGTAAGGAAGAGTTTCTGTTTGTAAAGTAGTTTTGTTAGTAGTACTAGGGATTAATATAATTTTCTGATTAAATTTTTTTAAATATTCCGATTTTATGGGAAATTTAAAACATTTGTCCGTGAAAAGTTCAGAGCAAATTTACACAGATTTATTAACAGGTTTATGAAATTCTTTCGTAACTAATTTTGCCATTATTTGTTGTTTTATAACCACTTTTATGGAAAAGTAATTCCTTGTAAAACAATTAGCATTTCATTGGCGAATCGCACATTGAAAGAGTGAAGTTGTCACTACGCAATGTAACTGTACCAATAGAAAGTTTTAGTTTGGCGTTGACGACAAAATGCAAATGTCACGTGATCAAGTCTTTCCAGTTTACGTTGCGGTTCAGGTTTTAACGGCATGAAGCACTTCTTGTGGTAGGTGATGTACGGCAAGCTTTTACTATTAATACACCAAGTGACGTTTATGGCCCATTGTAATTATTTTATGTGAGTATACATCACGAATATGCCTTTTTCATCGACAAACGTATAACAAAACATGAAATCTAGCTCCTGACAATGCAAATTATAAAAGACAAATGCAAAACGCCAAACTATATTCAAGTTTTTTCGAAACGGCAAACCTCAACGGCAAGCAGGTAGTTGAGGTTTATCGTTTGCCGCAGACGCTAAACTAAAACTCGCTATTATCGTGAATTGTTTCTGAGACCACCTGTTTTTGGGCTACCATTGTCGTTAATTAGACTGAGAAAACCTGTTTGTAGGCTACCATTATTGTGAATTGTTGATTGTACTGAGAAACCTGTTTGTAGGCTACCATTATTGTGAATTGTACTGACAACGAATGCAATTATGATCTCAAAACGACAATAAGGTAACATTTTCGTTTATTCTTTACTTGCACTTTTAGATTTGCGCGACTACACGTGTTAGATTTTCTTTGGTTTTTCAAAACAAAAGAAATTTTAACAAAATTATTTAAAAACTACTTACTACACGCTGGGAGATTGTCAAAAGGGCTCAAATACTGGAAGCGTCGGTCGCTCGTAGCTTCCAGTTTTTTTGGTGATATACCGAGCGACCATCAATCATTCTGAGCTCATTGAAAGAAAACATGTTTGGTTTGAAATACTTGAATAGGTATTGAAAGACAAGTTCAAAAAAGAGCAACAACAAAATACATTTGAAAACGTTTTTCGTTCACTTTTTAGCTTTGTCAACATTGAATAGTTTTATTGTGTATTTTAACTAATTTTATGTATTTGTACTAAATACATATGTTTAAGCAAAATTTTCAACTGTCGTAGGCTCGTAGCGAATCGTCGTTTTATTGTCATCACTAACATTGTTCATATATCTTAACTTTAGTGTGCAGCAGCTATATTATTTGTATTAACTGGATTGAATTGATTTGGTGTGTAACTTTTTTTTGTTTAGTGTTGATGAAAATGAAATAATTATTGGTGAAACCAATTCCAGAAAAGTGACTGTTGAACTCAGCAGTTCTGGCGAAGTTGCGTACAATCCTACCATAGCATTAACTCATGACCCGTCATTACAATATGAAGATTTCGATGTATCCGATGTAAGTTATTGTTTCAGTATTTTTGTTAATAAACTATGTATTAATGAACGATAACGATTTGTTTGTAGACATTGTGAATTTTTCTCTGTCAATTTTATAGAGATCGTTCAGAATTGTGCCAGATGCAACACTAAGTAGACCTGATTACGATTTGTTTCAACTTCAAGGACCCCTTGATCCAGATCAAAAGGTTAACCTTTTGGGTTTCATATGAAGTAGTTGTGAATCATTAAGCCTTTTTAAGAACAGGCATATTATTGTGGGTTGCCACGCACATGCGCTGTTCATTATTTTATTACGCAAAAATGACATCCGACCTTTAGGCCAACTGACGTCCATATTATTGATCTCTATGTTTCTTCAGGATGTAGCATACACTATATATTTTCGTTAATTACCAAAACGGTTGCGTTTTAGCGTATACTCCGCTCTCTATTTTACTGATTAAAGTTTGAATTTAACACTCAGCAGCTAAAGATATTTTACAAGTATAAGCTTTGCAGAAGATCACAAACATCTAATATGTCTCGTTTCGGCGACTTATGCAAAAGACTTTATTCGCCATATTTGTACACAATTTGTGTATCTCGCAATGCTCTAGTCAGGAAAATGCAAAGCTAAATGTGTTTTTCTTTCGAGTTTTAATGGTTCTACAAAACATAAAAAATGACAGTGAATTATATAAAATACATAATAGAGTCAAAGTATGAGCTATAGCCTAGAACTACAATAAAACTTATATTTACAATTCCTCCGCATTCAAAGGTAAAACTTAAGTTCAAATCGGGAAGAATTTCGACAAAAATCTCCTATTAAAATATCATTTAGAAAATACTGCAACTACAAACCAAAAATACAAATGAGATTTAATACATTACATTGTTTAAGGTTTCAGATTACTGTTAAGATCTGATGTTATGTAAGGAATGGTAAAATGGAGTTGACAAGATAAAATGGGCTGGGAGTGATGGGAAAAGTGCAAATATAAAAAACAGGGGTTGAACTAAAAAGGTTCAGGGGAATGGAGCAGCCTTGGATGTTAAGTGATGTCTTTCATTTAGAAATTCAGCTTGGGTGAAACGACACGTTTTATGAACACCAGAATCTTTGAACACTTGGGAAATACTCCTACTACTGGAAAACGCTATTCTAACTTTTTAATGTCAAGTGTTCTTTATCACATTAATACTTTTAACCACCATTCTTTTCAAGATTTAAAATCATTTTATATTGCTCATACACACTCGAACTTGAACACGTGGTTTAGGCTAACCACGTGTACGCAGTGCGTACCTGTTTTTTTAAAGCGATTTATATACCTTACGATAATATCTTAAGAATCTGGTATTACCTTATTACGATTACCTTACCTTACCTTAAGATACCTTAAGAATACCAGGGTCTGGTATTCTTACGATACCAGACCCTGGTATCGTAATGGTACGCTTGCGGGAAAGAAGATCAGGAGAAGATCTGCTTACTTTTTCGGCGCACATGCGCGTAGCACATGCAAGACCGGCGTATTTTTTTAATTGAGAAGTTTTACAACTGATATAAACTATGTGAGCGTAAAGTTAATCTTTAGATTTTTTTGACAGGTGACACTGGAAATTACATACTCGACCACCGCTGTAGTTGGTAAAAAAAAGAATCTGGAAATTTTTGTTAGGGTGAACGCGTAAGTCTGTTTTCTTTATATTTTAATTGGTTATTTGCCATATCAGACGGAGTATTTGTTAAAGTTACATGCTTCTTGTGGCTTTATAAACGCTACGTTGAACCGTGCGTACAACTAATATTTTGTGTTACATATGATCAATTACATTAACCTCATTATAACTGATCCTCGAGGAATATAATTTTCTGAATATTAGAATTCTTGAGAAATATAATTCTTTACAAAATCGTGGATCCACGAGATTGATCTATTCAATCCTGATGATAACATAGGTTTTTTTGAACAGTGTTGTTCGCTTCTCCTGCTTGGTGTTGTGTTTGTACAGTAACGTATATAAATAAGCTATGAAAGAGATCTTTCATTGTTTTAGATGGTTATCGATCTTTGTAATTTAGCCTCGAATTTAGCAAACTCTTTCATACAATCAATGCGTTATGTGCTTTTGTGATGTATGACAATTCTTAACATTACATGTCATTTGATTTCTTTCTTATGTTTTTACTTTGTTTTAGGCTAAGCGGAAGCGAGATTAATGATGAAAATAACAACGCCAACATTTCTATGATTGTCAAGCGCAATGTCAGACTACAAATTACCGGGTATGTGGGACTATCTGCTTTTATTTTAAGTTTGGTTAAGTTGCATCTCACTAAGAAGACTGCTGTGTCTGAAAACTTAAGGAGTATTGTGAATTTGTAAAGAACTTTCTTTACAAGCTAATCATTGGATATTGATGTAACTTAGCTACCGTTGCACTCGTTGTCTTTTTAAATACACGTAAATCGGTCATCTATCGTAAACAACCTTTTTGCAGATGCGCAGTGACTTTGGTCAAATGTAATATCAATCAATAGCGGATCCAGCGTTCGTCAAAATAAATTATAGCTGTTCAATTTTAAAGTCAAAGTACTCTCAGAAAAACGCTATTGATTTTGAATTTCCGAAGAATGTAATTTTACTAATGGATTCGCCTTTTTTTTGATGTACTTAGAAATGTTAATACATGCTAAAATGTGCTACAGTAATTTTGACGTACCCTAGATCCGCCACTGTTATCAATATTACCAACTGATAAACTTTAAAACATTTTATTTAAAAGATGAACTTTGTGTTTTTAGCACAACTGTTCCTAAGTCACTAGACTATCCAGAAAAAGGTCCTGATTTAAATATAATAGACAACGACTATAGCTCTGTGAACATTACTTCTATTGGACCACCAGTAACCATTACTGTCGAGGTAAGGAGAAGATGAATTTCCCTTCCACCAATATTCTTTTCAAAACTATAATCCCGTATAACGAAGAAATAATTAGTTATATAGTCATTGTAGTGGTCACCTCCTAACTATGAAAAGAAAATTATCTTCGCTATTTGGTTCCATTGAAAATATTTCTAAATTTCTTGTCTCAATATATATGATTTCTATGACTTTTGATGATGCTTTTGTGATTTAAATCAGACATCTGACGTACCTCTATATGCATGCATTATATTACCTAACATAAATGCCCGTCAACTTTTGAGTTGATTTTTTGTTTTCAATCTATTGGATCTCATTATAGGTTTCTTACACGACGTTTATTCTTCATTTAGGTTGCAAATCAAGGTCAAAGTGATTTAGAAGATGTGAAACTTCGTATAAGCGTCCCTCTAACCGAAAAGACAAGGAATTCAATTATCTTCTGTATCCTGTCAGTATTAAGGTCAGTTCTGGCAGTTGTATGATTTTTATTTTGACAATGTTTTACATCGGCGATGTTTTTCTGTGAATTTATCGAAGTGGATTATTGGAATGGGAGAGTTCACAGTTTAATTTTGTTTAGTTTTTGTAAAGCACTGTGGAAAAGTTTGCTAGGCTATGGTGGAAATGTTTACAAGGCTATGTTGAAATTGTTGTTTCTATGTCATAAATGTTATGTTTTGTTTGTTTGATGTAAACTACACAAACAATTTTTGATATAAAGCATTAGGTTTAAGACGTTTCTGTAAACAATCTTATTTACATCTTTACCAACTGTTTAATGAACATTAAGTAACGTATGTCGTTTCAGGAAAGAGGTGATGCCAACAACGCAGTATGCAGTGGAAGAGCCTTGAATCCTGCTAACCTGTCCTTAACGGCGGTAAGAATAACCAGGAATAAACTAATTGTTTGAGACTGCGCGATGTATTTAACTTAATTAACTTTTTTAACTTTGACAACCTTAGCGGTAGTAATCTTCAGAGTCAAATTATCCTCAGCTCATCTTGACTCTGAGGATGACTACCACTAAGGTTGTCGAAACGTCAGTCAACACCAACAACAACAGTCCTTTTCAGGACTATACTAACCTGGACGATCTACATCTACAAACATGTATTTAACTTAATTATTTTTTGCGAGTTGCACATTTGCTGGTTACAGATTTTTAAGTTTGCCGTTCTTTGTGTCGATAAATAACTAGAACTTATTAGAATTAAAACGTCTAACGTTATATCAAAGTGCCAATGCTCAACAGAACATGAAATCAACATAAATTCTTTTCACTATATGGGATTTCTACCAACAAAACGACCGATGCAAACACTTAATATGTTAAATATAAGCACATAGTTTGATTCTATGTTAAATATATGTCTCTACTCATATTTAATTTTAATTATATTCAACTTATAGCCATTTAAAGTGCTATCTTAGTGCAGTGTTTGTTCCCTTTTTTCATTGGCTTTGTAAAAAGTACATGCTGTCAAATCCGTTTTTTGCAAAGGGAATTAAATGTAGTCTTTTCAGAGCGAGTTTATAGCCGTCAAATTGACGATTTTTGACAATTTTTTGGCGAACGTTTTGGCTGCTATGCTAGCTAAATTTTCATCATAAGAAGTACACATTCTCACCATTGAAATATCAGTTACTATTACCTTGGCGACTTCCGTATTCTGTATGACGTCAGATGAGCGGCCAAAAGGTTGCAGGCGAGGACGACTTTGGGTGTTTAACTTTGTCACTTTTCACTCAACTTGTATTGGTCATAAATATATCAAAATCCTTGTAAACGTCTGAATATTTGAAAATAGTTCTAAAGATAGCAAATACCACTTAGAAGTATTTTTAGATTTGTCACCACGACAAAGTCTCTATTTTATTAGTCTGAATATTTGTTCAAGTGTATGAAACTTTCACTTTATATACACTTTAAGAAAATTCAAATTCGTGGATGCCTTGTCACCGACATATTTTTTTTATCAGGACTCGCAAGGAAGAACTAGACGGAGAAGAAATACAGAAACCCTGGTATGGTCACGATTGCAGTTTATCTTAGACAATGGTTTAAATAAAATAAGATCGACCACTACGAAAGCAAAATATCTGAAAATTGACCCAAGTTTGTGAGGCGATAGTGCAATTACTTTGATTTAAATCTCGTTTTGTATGAAATGGCTTGGAGTTTTGCAGCCGGGTTAGAAGTGGCAAAATAACAACAGACAACGTATACTGGAACTTTTAGATAAATTATCCACAGTATTTTTTATTATTTGTTTTATTGCCTAAAGCTTTAGATATTCGAGTTCTTCTCAAGTATTAAGAATACTTTACTTTAAAAGTGTCTTCTAGAATCTAAATTATGTGTTTTGCCAAATACAAAAAAACGCGTTATTTTTGCCTGTATCGTTGTTCAACAAGTAATATTGATGAATTACTTAGTCTGTTTTAATCAAAACATTCAAACTGCTTCGAATTTGTTTTTCATCTCATCCACGAGTCAGGTGCAATGCCTTTGATTCAATTTTTCCATTGTTGTGAAACTTTCTTCTTTCTAGTCACCTCGGACGATGGATTCAGGACTGGTGACTTGTACAATCAAAGAAATTGAAAGAAATGGTCGTTTTGTGGCAGACTTAAATGTGCGACTGTGGACTGCGACTCTTGCTGCGGTAAGGCATAAAATAAATGAACATTTGTGGTAATACATTTCTTACTTCCAAAAATATTTTGACGAGGTGTGTTGCATCAACAACTTCCCAACACAGACAGTAGTTGAATGAGAGTTGATTATTGAAATCCGGTATATCAAAATTTATTTTGAAATCGGTTTTTGGTGATATTTTGTACACATGAATACGGTTATTTCGGTATTTTATACTGCGTAGTAACGAAGTGAAAGTGTCGTCGAGTAGAGCTTATCACAATCACGTTTACAAACTTAAGTTAAAACATGCAGCCAGGCGATAGTCACTGTCCTAGTTCATAAATACATCTTACGATTCGGCAGTTTTGGTTTAGCAAGTCAAAGACAAATACATAAATACCTATTTTAAAAAAAGGCGTCAAAATTCTATTTGAAGAACAAATATTTTTTGATTGTTTTTTTTCGTGGAAACACGTGCTATATGCTTTTTATTTTTCAAAGAATAAACTTCAAATTCACTATCGATATACCGGTATTTTGATGTCGGTATACCTGTATATACCGGTATTCTGATGTCGGTATACCTTTACATACTGGTATTCTGATGTCCGTATACCTGTATGTCCCGGTATTCTGATGTTAGTATTCCTGTATATACCAGTATTCTGATGTCGGTATACCTGTATTTACCGGTATTCTGGTGGTATTTGGTATTTGCGTTATCAACTACCTAACTTTGCCATAAGTATTTTTGAAATTTGCAAAACTTTGCCATTAATATCTGCAACTTTATTATACGGATTTAGTATTATCCTAAAGATCTTCTCATGATTGTCCAATTTAATGCTGAATATGTCAACAATCTTAATGAGAGCGAATCACCTCATCGTGGACATCAGGAGGTTAGCAATTTTACTTTTTCTTAAACATGCGAATTTTTATACATGTTTGATAACTTTCATACAGGTTTACCCTTAAGGAAGGCGTTCTGAGTTTGTTTGAACTGTTGTTTTTTACAATATCGTTTATTGTAGGTCACAATTCGAGTAACTCCTGAAAATGCTCCTGGAAAATCCAAATCAACTCCAGTGTGGGTTATTATTGTCTCTGTGCTTGGTGGTGTTTTGTTACTGGCTCTTTGTATTTTCGCTTTATTCAAAGTAAGCAAAAAGTTTTGTGTTAATAAGGTTTGAATTTGCTATAATAAATTCAGGATGGTAAAACACAAGATCATAGACACTCCGTAAATAGCAGACATTATTTAATCTAAACGTTTCGACAAGTGTTACATGTCATCTTCAGTAGAAATTGTTTTTTAAAATAGCAACAGCAAGTTGGTGAAGTTTAGGATAAGTGACGCGGAGTTTAGGCCAAAAGCAAACAGTTTCTACTGAAGATGGCATGTAACATTTGTCGGAACGTTTAGATTAAATTATGTTTACTATTTGCGGAGTGTCTATTGTCGTGTTTTACCAAAATACTCTTTGGCAGTCGTAATTTTTTTAAAGTCAGGATGGCCATTTATGTTTTATCAATTTTTACCACGACTTACTCATGTGTAGATGTCGCGTAATTCGTGTTTGTCACAGTCACATAGTTGTTATGGTTAGTAGTATTTCTTTTACCACTCTACAAGACTACGCTATACTCCTTAATTTTCTTTCTCATGGAAAGGTCTTATCTTTGTTCGTGCACTGCATGTAGCATTTAAGGAATATAAGATATTTACTGTGTTTGCACAGGCTTTTAAATTGCACCTGTTCGAAAGTTCTCACAAACATCTCCGGGGAATGTTTAGTAGCCAAATGATTTTTAAAATAGATTTCACATTACAAGTTATTTTATGTATTTCAGCTTGGATTCTTTAAACGAAATCGACCTCCAAAGGAGATATCACCTCCGCAAACAGATGAAGCACAACAGACTGAAGTTAATTAGGATTTTTATCTTCTTTAATTTGTATTATTGGTAATTAATGCACTGTTTGTACGGCAGACTTGCTTGACAATTTTATTTACGTAAAACTCGTACAATGAATCAATAATTTCCAGCACATGGTTGTATGTGTGTGAAACATTTGCCTTATTCGAAAAGCTGTAATATTTCATAATTGTATGTTAAAACTAATAATTTTGTATGAGTAACGCTCTTCAAACCAAGTGACAAGTAGAACGAGATCAAACGAATGGTTGGTACTAATTAGTAGAAACGTCACAAGTAAGACTAAAATTCTACTGACTAAAGCATACCACACTATGACCTACCTACAGTCGCGAATAAAAGTTTAAACTTTTAAGCTTTTTCATGAGTTCAGTAACATTTTAAAGAAACAAGGAAATTGAGCTTACTATTAAATGTGCATAACTAGGGACGGATAAAAAACATCTAAGGTGCTTGCACGATAAAAAATATTTACCAGAATGATAGTTTATTCGCTAAACTATTTGAGTATATTCAGACTGTAGCACATTGTTGCCATCTTCTCGATTTTATGCTGATCGGACTTGGGACTTTATCACGGGCTTTATCGGACTTTATTGAGGCTGTTGGTATTGTTCGTGGATTTTTATTTTAAGAAATAAGTTTGGGAGATTTCCAAAGGAAGAAATCCAAGATTTATAATTTGAAGAATAATTTTTGGGGAAAATTGATTAAACAAACTAATAAACTTTTTCTGAATGTAAGAAAGACAAAACTCGTTTGAACCAGTTAAAAACAGTTACCTTAATCTCAATAGATTCTTTGGTAAGATTTATGCAATTTGTTCTCAGTCTGCTAAATTGCAGAGAGAACTAAAAATTATTGCTGCAGAACTGGATAACCAACTGCGCAAAGTCGACAAAATTTTGACAACTAGATGGGTTGCATCCTCGTCTCGTGCAGTGAAATCTTTTGGAGAAATTATCCAGCTATGTAGAAGCATTTCTACACACTTTCACAGTCTAAAGACAAGCACAAAGCAACCTATGCTGGATTAGCAAAACGAATGGAGACGATAGAGTTTGTTGAAGACGTAGCCATTATGAAAGACATTGGGCAGCTTTCTATTTTGTCTGAATTACTACAGAAGGACTGTACCATTCTCAAAGCAACTGACTATTTGCAATTGTAACATTGTTAGAATTTCGGTATTGAGAAAACTTTGGCGGAGTTTGTTTAGAAGGGACGAATTAAAAGGCGTAGAAAATGCAAAGTGTGTTAAGATTGTACTTTGCATCGAGAACGACTTTGTAGACTTTATATCGTTTTTCTGGTTGATTTATTCTAGACGATGGGTACGATTGTTGTATGGTCGTGAGTTTACTACGATGGAAGATATTTTAACCCTTTGGGATGGTATATTTGCTGATGGTCTCTCTTTGGATTTAGTCGACTACGTCTATTTATCGTTGGTATGCAGCAAAAGAAGAAAATGTAACAACACTTATTTATTTTTGTGTGCACTTTATTAAGACATAACCCATTACAGTAACAATTGTTAACGGACTAATGGAGTTGTATTAACAATAAATTACCAACTCACTTTACTGACGATTTTGTGTTTGAAATCTTTTTTATAGTGTTATCATCGGATCATTTTGTATGCATTACTATATTGATGAAAACACCATATTGTAGAAAAAATGCTAAATTAGTAGGGTTTTGAGATATTTACTTGTTTATTTGACAGCTTTTCAATAAAATCAACGTCTTTCGTGAGAGATTTGGCAGGTGAAATTTCGACACGCTCATCGCCAAAAAAATGGTATAAGATGAACTGAAATACCCCCTTTTTTTTTGTCTGGAAAATTGCTACAGCCAACTGCCACGAACCTTTTTCTCATAATTTCCTTTGAAATTCAACGGGAAAACACTTTCACCGACTATTTGTTATTCAAACACATGCTTGAAGATGTGAACAGCTTACCCTATCTACGTCACGCTCTCAAACACGCCGTGGAACAAAACGGAAATAAAAAATGACATTTTTAAACCTCCATAAAAAGATAAATAGTCCCTCGAATTGATTTTTTTCTTTTTACAGTCACACCACGCAGTCAAATTTTCTTAAATGAAAGAAAACACGAAGATCATAGTTCCACTTTAACTTTGTCTCTGAGATGTTGGCGGCTCAAGTGAATTTGTTTTAATGTATTTTGAATATTTTTCTAGCTTGATCCTAAAAGAAAAATGGATTATCTGGCAAAAGAACAACTAAAGTCATCTGTCGCTCCTGAGTTTCCCGTATGTATTGCCTATTTTGAATAATTTAAGTGGAAATTGTTGGAATTTTGAACAATTTGTATTTCTGTTAAATTTCTATCTTTAGACTTAATGGTGCATTGTGTAATATTAGACAATATATTTTGATATTCATAAATAATGTTTTTTTTCCTATTTCTCCAAGAACAATTACTGGTTCCTACTTTTTTCATGCTACTTTTTATAGTTTAACTACAGTCAAGTCTGTAATTTTCTTGTGCTTACTTTCATTGGCCAAAGTTAATCTACAAAATAGTTCAAATACGCATGCGCGACTTCTTCATTCAATCAAAATGAATTATTGCAGAACCAAGATGCTTTTCATTCAAGAATAACAAATAGATTACAGGCTGTCTTGCAAGGCACCAGACAAATTCCATCAAAGAGAGGACCGGAAATCAATGATACATACAATGCTGAAAACAGATTGGAAAATAAATCCTCTGGTAATGAAAAAAAGAAACCAGTTGAAATGAAGGGTAAATATCTTGATTTCATCATCATCAGTTTTTTTTATCAAAAATAATAATGCTGACATGGAAAAAACTTTGAACGAAATTATTTTCGTGTAATGTTGTTTGTTCAATATTTATACTATGTGGCAAAAATTTCTTGGAGTCTGGAAATATTTTTCTTTATGGTGAATGTTCACATGATTTTGTTTATTTTAGTCACTTTTGACGAAGAATTTTGTGCATTGTTGTAATATTGCGAACAATTTAGAGAACAACAAGTCATCCCCGTCATCCCACATGTTCCCCAGTGATCCTGATGATGAAGATTTATTTATGATGTCACCAAGATCCAACAGAACATCTGCCAGTACGGCGTTTTTATCAAAACTATCATCGAAAGTTCGTCATCCAAGTCGAACTGATATCACTGCTTTACAGCAAGTATGTAGAAACTGTGCAATTGTTTTCTTCTGATGTGTAGAAACTGTGCAATTGTTTTCTTCTGATGTGTAGAAACTGTGCAATTGTTTTCTTCTGATGTGTAGAAACTGTGCAATTGTTTTCTTCTGATGTGCTAATTTGTCCTACTTTACAGAATATTTCATATTTGTTGCAGAATGAAAACTTATTTGCATGTGCTCCAAAGCACTTTAATTTACTTTCATATGCAAAAACCAATCGTTGAAATGCCAATATTTTTATTTGAATAGAACTCAGCAAAAAACGACAAGCTAAGTCATGACAAAAACTAGACTAAATCAAACAAAAACATTAGATAAATCGAATATTTCTGGAATTTGTGGCTAAATAAAATCAAGTTTATTCTATTATTTTTCAAATTTTGTAAAGGCTGAAAAATTATAATTACATAAAATAAATCAATCTCATCTACAGCTGCGTGAAAACTTAAATAGTTTTAATGGATTGAGAAAAAAATTTTTTGAAAATATCTTTGCGGCCTTTTTGAAAAGTATTTGGTACGTATAAAACTTAGTAACTTGATAAAACACCTTTACTCTTCGTTGAACAGTTGTCGTTACTTAACAATTTTATTTAAATCACCATGTCTATGAATTTAACAGGGAACACTCAAACAAGCGTGTGTTTGATATTTTTTAGGACCATGAACGTCTTCAAGATCAAGTCTCTCATTTCAAAGCGGAAGTAGATAAACTTCAGTCAATATCGATCTATTGTGGTTCTAAAATGGACACCTACATAAGTACGATGCTTTCATTTATCACTTTTTTATATAAAATATTGATTGGTGCTTGATGTACTTTTTGGCTTTCACTCCTATAATGCCTGTACGATTATTTACGAAATGGCATTAAATGAGGTTATGGCTGTACGAGATAACTTGTAAATTGGAAAATCCGTAACTTGGTATTTTGAGTGTTTCTTGATATATATTTGCCTCTAAATTATAGTGTCTTTGCTAATGTGCTTATTATTTAGATCATCTACAAGAACAAATAACTCAAGATGAGAAATGTATGGATGTTGTATACTTGTCCTTGGCTGGTCTAAAACAGGTAAAACGATGAGCTGAGAAAGTTATCTTTTATATATCGATATGCTGATACAATATATTGACAACCTGCATCTTCACTATATGCTTCCAGGTTCGTGACATCTTGAAAGGAACGTTAACATTTCATGGCTCAACAATCGAACATGATTCCGAATTCAGTCACATCGACACGGCTATTACATCTCTTACACCCAACACAAAAACCTCAAGTGATAATAAGCTACCGAACTCGTTACCAGTTCCTCTACTTGCGGACTACGGGCATTTTCAAAAGCAGAAGGAAGAATTTATCCTAATTGAATCTAGTGAAGGGCAAAACGATGACTGTGGTGCAAATGAAAGGACGTCTGATAACTTTAAACCTGAGAACGTCGATGATATTTCTTCTGACCTTATTGATTAACCAAATCACTTTCACAGAGATTCATCGATGCCAATTGTTACCAATACTTTTGGCGATTATGGCTCAACATAAGGCTTGCGTGATGTAGTCCTGTAAAAACATCTTTGTAATTTACTCTCTTCGCTTCCCAAACTTAGTATATTTTGCATGCTTTCTGATTTTCTGCACAACAAAAGCTTGGGGCAAGCGATCTTGCCTTTTTACTCTTTTTCCCGCTAAACACAATCAGTCACACAGGCATTCTCCCATTGCAATCTTTCATCGCCATTAGCTGTTTCACCTGTGCGTATGTCTTCTTGTACTGCAATTTATGTTGCTTTTGTCTAATAATTTTCCTGGGTTTTTGGAGGGTAAGGGATTCTGGCGATGGAGAGTTATATTACCAAGGATAAAAAGTAGCACTCTTACATCTTAAAAGTAACCTGGAAGTACTACATTTCTATGCCAATTTGAATACAGTTGATTTGAATACTATTGATTCGAGTACTAGTCATGTTGGATATTGAAAACATTATTTTTGTATAGACTATCGGTCACTCAATAGAAATTAATAATATTCAAAAATAGAATTGGTTCTTTCTTTTTATTTTTTTGTATTGTACTTATCATAATACGAAAAAAACCTTTTTCGATATAACTTATGTTTTTCGACTTACTATTTCTTTTCTTTCTTGAATGAAGATGGGTTTTCTTTGTTTTTACTTCTCCTAAAACTCCGTTCTCGTTGGTCGTCTACATAAAAATACCCACCATTGTCTCAGCCTGAAGAATAGGCAAGGGGGGAGTAGGTAAATATCATTTATTCCTGTACATAAAAAATGTTTTGGAGAAATGTCTGCTGCGCCCTCCCGCTTTTGAGCAGTTAAAAGTTTGAAACTTTAAATTGCTTGAAAACATGCATGATCAAATTATAGCCTTTTGTAACAGTTGACCCTATCAAAATTGTATCAACAATAAATTCCTGAAATTCTGTTTTTGCGCTGGCCATTTGCTGTTGTAACTTGTAAAGGCAAGTTTTATGGAAAGTATCTATATTGAGGTTGCTGCGAAAAATGGTTGTTTCTGAAGTTATTGGGCATATTTCAACGAACTTCGTAGTATTGATACAACGTGACCAACTATGGGGCGCCATCTGTTTATCATTTAGTAATTCAACACTGCATTTTTGCTTGATTTATGAGATAAAAAGAATTTTTTATTTTTTTTATCTGTTTACTTTCCTAGTACAAATTTTAACCAAATAATTTTGACTCCCAGAAGAACGAAAGTCTGAAAGTTTATTCAATAAAATCCTCCTAACTTTCACCAGATTTTACTTTTATATCGAAATATGATCTGATTGTGTGAACCATTTCACAAAACAATAAGGATTCCAGACAATTTTACATAGAAGTTCCATTTTAGTTAACTGCAAAATATTTCGATATTATACACTTATGATTTAAAAACTCCATGGACAATATTCGAAATTTAAATATGAGTTTCAACTTTCAACTAAACAACAGATGCACTTTATCTTTGAGATTATGATGAAATGCTGAAAACTGTGTCATAAAAAGTCTAATGTTTGTTTAATCATTGATCAAATCTTGTGTCTTGACTTGACATCTCATAATTTCACAAAAAAGTGTTAGGAAGGCTCAATATATGGCTTTTCGCATGAATACGACAAAAATAAATATTATTGTTAGTAATTGGCTTCCATCCAGTGTTCTTTAATCGATGCACCTGGCATGTCATTAGTGTTACCTTCTACAGGTTACTTACTTTTGGTTTGAGTTTGACATTGTTCTGTCTTACGAGGTAAACTGGAAATATGACTCACTGCAAAACGCGTGCTCACATTTCTTAATGTCAAATCATCAGAGTCGAAATTTTAATATGGCTTTGAAGGGATTACTGACCCTCAACTCAAACTGTTAAAATGTTACATGACAAAGATTTAATTTGCAGGGAAAATTGAAAAACGATGTAATTGGATAGATTAAAACAGTTATCCAAATTAAGTGAATTTTATTTGACACAATAATAGTTTTTGGAAAAATTGATTGTGAATTCAGTTTTGGTGAAAAGCTTTGCCTGAACAACTGTTTGGCCTGCACCTGCCTTTGGGTCTGTCGCAATTCTGTAGGATGTTTCGTATTCTTATTTTTTGCAGAGCATTTAATTCCTCCCATATCCACCGCTTTCTAACAAAAAGTTCAAGTTTCGCCCCTACCAGTGCTAATCATAGATCGAAATTTGCGAGTTGTTCAGTAAATTTAAATGTATTCTTTAGCAATTATAAGCTCATGAAATTTTCTTAACCAAAAATTTTCAGAAAAGCACGAAGGTTTACTTCTAACATGAAACTTCCAAGATTTTAGCATAAATGTGAAAAAACCACCAAGTCACAATTATATGGGCGGGATATGCTGATTAAACAGTTTTGCATCGTCCGTAAGTCTAGCGAGTACTTCCGATGACGTTCGATATCCGCCACACCTTCTATTTCATGCCCAATATCAGTATACATAACTCAAATTCACTCGAACACTCATAATCTTAAAAGCAAACGAGCGAAGTGTATCATGTTGCAGTGACTTTATTTCAAATTCTAATCAATTTATGCGTGTTATAAGTTGTCAATCGATTCAAATGTCTGTGTTACACATATTACTTATATTTGGTTTTTTTAAAGTTTGCTTATGTTATAAACACAGAATATATACTTTACAGAAGTACCACTCTTGAGTTAACTTGTCGCTAATTTTTTATGCGCATGCTCCAATTCCGCCATCTTCTTGGCCAGTCAACAGCTGGCAGCGGTATATAAAACTATATGGTAAGATGCGAAGTGGAGACTGGAAAACGTCGATTTTTTTCAATTGAGGCTGTTCAATCTGATGCGTAATTCATAAAATAGCAAAAGCAAGGTATGTTTTAACTTTTCTGAAAGTTTTAAGGAATCTCAGTCGTACTTTATGCCGACTCATCGTCATCGCATGTTCGATTTGGTCAAACGATCACACTATGAATCTTTATGACACCATACGACTGAACTTTGATGATTGAACTACAGAACATTTATTTGGTGTTTCAGGATATTTTTCTGTGTTATTTAAGAAGAAAACATCCAGGAATATCTGCCAATTTAAAGCTGCACTGTTTATACGATACCATTAAGACCAATATATTACTATAAATTCTATATAGTTATAGTTTTATTGAACATGTAATTAACATTTTATCAGTGGTTAGGTAGATAAATATACGATATATTAATCTTGTAAATGATCATATACCATTATAATGTATCTGAGAAATAGTGAATTGCATAAGAGCATACACACTGGCTGAACTGAAGTTTTGTACTGTTGTTTAAATTTTGGTCAATTACAAAGACAGACATGAGCTAATTGAATGATAAGATAATTTATTACTTACCTTTGGTATACAAATAAATCTTAGTTGGACTAAAACAACTTTGACCATGACAAATGGCATCTATGCTGTGTGTTGTAGCAATAGTTGGTAGTTGAGTAATGTATTCTTGCAGTAAATCTCATAGACCAAATTTCCACTATTTATTTTATTTTAATAGAATCCTTCTGCTGTAGTTTTTACTAGAAATAAATATAAACTGTATGGCTGAACTGTCCTGAGAATTAAAAGCAATGATCTTTAATTTTGTGAATTGTCTTGAAAACCTATGCTCATATTTTATTTTCCTTGTAAACTCAAACAATACTCAACATTGCTCAATTGATGATTGTATATGCTTTATCTGTAATAGTAGTTTGTTCCTACAGTTTGTTCCTAAATATGATAATTCAAAGTGGAAGTGGTATATGGAAAACACAATTTACAAGTACTTCTTGCAAACTTTACATAACATCAGCTGTGGATTCAAACATTAATTAATGTCTGTTACATGATAGCAACTACTATCATGTAATATCATTATTATATCATATTATAATTTCATATATTACTGCACAATTCTTCATATTATAATTTCATATATTACGGCACAATTCTGCAAAGCTGACTCAAGCATTCCTGTTTTGATTTTTCCACCTAAAAACACAAAAACTGACGATGTTGAGACAAGGGATTACAAGGAAAAGGAGGTTGGTGACAATTTAATGAAAGAGAATCCAATTGCTTATGTAGCTGGATACTTACTCCAGAAATATTTTGAAAAGCACAAGTGTTCCATATGTGAGTCAGTTATGGTCACAGACCAACTTGATGATAGCAGAAATCTGCTTTGCTACTTCAAGGCATATGAGTCAGACAAGAGCTTTGGCGGTCTCCTTGCACCAAAAGTAGCATTTTATGAATATATCACCAAAATTGAAGACATATTTGTCACAGAATTCTCCACTTATACAAAAAGTGTAGGTATTTTGAAAAAGATCCTTCAGCAGCTACAAAAAGCTCCAATCCCATTTGAACAGTGCTCGCATTTTTCAATTGATTATCTCCTCAAACTCTTTCTAAGAATGAGGATTTATTATGCCATCAAGTTTGCGAATCGTAATCTATCAGCCGCCAAGTTGAAAAAAAATATAAAGTACGTAAAAGTGACTCACCTTTAGAAGGAAAATAAATGAACCCGCATACACCTCGGATGAATCAAATGAAAGTGACCGTCAAGATTCAACGCTTTTTCAATACATTATGATGCAGGTCATCTGAACTTCTAAACTGCATCAAAGTGCCAAACCACTGTAAGTAAAAAATTCCAAGAGATTTCAAACTTAATGTCATTAACGAGGCAAAATAAGAAAAATTCTATTGACTGCAGTTTACAAAGCTGAGGAGCGGTCACAGTCACAGAACGAAATGTAAGATTTCGAGCTTTACAACACGTTTAATTACGTTGTAAAAAAAGAAAGACATAGAATATACCTCAAATTTTGTCAAACTCTCGCTAGGAACAAATCTACGACCTTATTGAAGAGATACAGGCAAATATTTGTACTTCTCTTTACAATCCTTATATTGTTTGTCAGAAATTGACTGGCTAGGAAGATGGCGGCCGAGATGCGCGAAGCAGCATATACCATGCACGATATATTTTTTGGCTAAACAGTATAAAAGTTTGTGATGCATTACGTAACTAGTGGGTACATTAGGGAAGTTTTTTTCCAAATATTGCACATGCTGTTCGCAGAATGCCTTTGCATGCTGAGGCGACTCAGTGCATACATTGGGATAATTCAGCAATGGAATACCTACAAAATTCTGAAAACAATTTCATATAATATTATTAAGTTACGAAAAGCAAAGGAGTAATTTTATATAAAACTAAGATAAGTACCTTTCTACGCATCATGCAATGAGGAAACATTAATTTCCATATTCCATCGGCAACCCATAGCCTTCCCACATCCTATAAGTTTGATTACGAAAATATCTTAGCCTGATGAGAATCACAGCTATTTTCCAATAGAATATATTTGTAGCTTTTAAACTAATTTTAAAATACAATTGCATCTAACTTACCGCGCTCTTTGCAAGTATCAGAACAATTATCTGATATATGCTAGTACAAACTTCTCGCCCTAATTTTGTCGATTTGTTCTAGAACCCTAGAAGAGTCCCCATCTTCTTTAAGCAAACCAAAAAAGTCCAGTTGCCCCAATTCCCTCAACTCATTCTCCATCTCGCCGACCCAAAATGAAGCAGCAACTTGTTTCTCTCCAAAATCTTTATATAAAACGCAAATAATGCTTACCATCAAAAACTGTAACAACGTGATAACAGTAATACAGATCTACAACATATCTTTCTCTTACTGCCACTGTATACTTCATTAAACGCTTCAGAAAAACCGTTAAATGATACCCACGAATGACAACTATAGAAAACATGTTTCATTTGTAAAATCTACTTGCTATTTTAACATTAATTAATCAAGTGATTATATTGTAACTTACGCGAGTGACAATTGCCACTGAAGCAAAGTTGAATCAACAAAACAGAGATCCGTAGCCTCGTCATTTTTCTTTGTTCGGGATATAACATCCAGCCATCTTTCCCATTACCGTACTTGGAATATCCATAAAGCAAATTACAGCGATTGCATCTAAGCGAAACTTTCACTCCATCAGTAGTTCCAGAAAGATCGTGTACCTGAACTTTTACTGGCTTATTGTACCTCACAAGATCATGGTTGCACTTAATACATTTGGAGCATGGAGGTGTAAATACATGCAACTTCCTATCGGTTGTACTAGGAACTTTTAATTTAGAAGCGGACTGTAAAAGAACATTTACATCTTCTTCTTCTAAATTGGGACATACCAAAGCCAACACTTCTTTACGTACATTCACGGGGAGTACAAGCAAAGAAGACGCAACATTGGCAATAGAGCACACAAGTGACAACCCATATTTCAAAACAAGAACAAACAGAATTACATCAGCATTTAGATCATTGCAGACTTTCAAATTAATAGATTGGATATCACTTAATATCCTCGACCCCACATATTCTTGATGTAGTTCCTTGTTGACATCTTTTCGCAAATCGTCAACCGATTGACAATTGTTACGCCTGCGCTTCGACATATTTTCAGCTTTTCCTAGTCAGAAATGATTTCGGCTTTCCCCAGTCAGAAGTCATGGGAAATACTATTATTATGCATATTAAGCAATCTCGATTGCAATTGGCTAAGAACCTACCTACACTGCTATAGGTGACATATCATATAATTGTCCATGCAAAATTGTAAATAAAAAAGTATAATGGCAGACTCTTGCTCGATATTTGCAAGCGTTTTGCAAACTTTTTTCGCTCGAATTATTGAGTATTAAGACGTAAAAATAAACGGAATGGGTTAAATTGTCAGGGAGGAGAGTTTTCATCGAGTTTTTTCGGGAGAAAGACGAATGCGACACTGCGGACATTACGTCATTCGAGTGTGATAGTGTGATGTCGTGTGATGCATCACATCAGTGTTGCCAGATGGGCGGTTTTCCCGCCCAATTGGGCTGGTTTATAAGCCTGTTTGCGGGAAATTTTGGGAGGTTGCGGGTTGCGGGTTTTTGGGCTGGGAATAACTTTTTGCGCGATTTTTTAGGCTGGAAAAAATTTTGATGATCTAGCTTCCACGTGTTTTTGTTTTTGTCGTGGTAAACAGCAATTGCGCTAATATTGTAGTGAAGTACATAACGTGCGTATATTATTCATCTAGATTTATGTATTAGCAATAGAGGAAATAGCCAATCCTACACTTTCTCAAAAGCGCTACTTAAACTTACGCACTTTACTTTATAATTACGTAAAACTACTCAAATTTCAAGTACATTATCCGCCTTGTAATAACTGCACCTTGTTTAGCCAAATATATAAAAAGCCTGTGAATAAATTGTAAAAGATAGAATACTCACGACTGTTGTAAATAACTTCTTCGCTAGTGAATAAAACTTGGGCTACCTTTTACTTGTTTTGATGCAAATTTGGGCTATTTCTTGCAAAATATAATTGGGCTTTTTTTGGGCTACTTTTAAAGGTAGCTCGGGCGGGTTTGCAGGCTACCCATCTGG